TTATCCGCTTCTAACCAAGCCCTGCCTACAACCTACACGCCCTAAGGACAACTTTCTACCCATCTGGGACCATGCCTCAACTTTTGTGGGTCTATCGAGTTGGTGAGCCCACTGGCTTACAAACAGACAGACAAACACACCAAACTACTTTTTCATATATAGAGGGATAGCTTATCAGCTCATGACGTTAGACCTGTGAGTGCTGATAACCTACGGTAAAATACCATGAAAAGCTGAGTTGGGGCGAAATGGTGCCCCGGTAGTAACTGGTAGCGCGCTTGCCCGGTGAGCGAGAGGTGCGGGTTCGAGTCCCGCCTGGGGCGAAAGTTTGTATTCATAACCCAACATTCTTGAGAAACACAGTTCCCAAAAAACAATAGCCGGCTCAATATTCTGACCTTTAGTCCACATAGTAGAAGCCAATGTGGATCTGGATTGAAAGTGATCAGCGGCTGGCAGTTAACTCTTTAATTTCTCCTTCATTCTTCCTTCATGACGAAGATGACCAGAAAAAATGCTTTATAGAGTGAAAAAAGTTGGGAATAAATGTCATGATACCGATGAGTTACAGAACGTGATAAGATGAGGTGACTCGTGCAGAAATGGGAGGAGGTCAAAGGTCAGGCGAGGATTATGTCGTTTCCCTTATAGACGCAACGTCTCAACATCGAACATCGAAACAACAAACAATTCAATCAACAATGCTGATGACGGAACCATCTTCGCCTTCACGATGTAAAAGGCGTTCTGAGGTAGTTGTAGAGATTTTTGGCACGAATCGGACCCAGACCAGGGCACAAGGCAAGCTGCTCTTCAGTTGCTTCACTGATAGCCTTCAGTGTCCCAAAATTGAACAGTAATCTGAAATTTAAATTCCATTTATGGAGCCTTATCCAAAACCATTTTCAATGGGAGAACACCGCAAAATTATCTGAATCGTACCTTTGTGCATCTGCTTTGGTAACACTCCTTGCACCTGTCAAGATTCCAACAGCAGCGTTTTGAAGGGCGCTCTTCTCATCAACGGGCACAAAAACTGGTTTCCTAGAGATCAGAACTCTGGCAGATCAGAAATTTGCGGATGAACACTTACTAAGTGTACCAAGTAATTCGAACACCCAAAGCAACGAGAAGTGTTTTTTTCGGCTTAATATAATATAGGCTCACTTAGAAATAGGATCTCTAGCTGTCGGGATTTCAAATTTCTCTATGTATTCAGCTGCCTCTTCCACCTGAACAAAATCCTATCACATGTTTTAAATGTACTACTACCTACATATCACAAGCTATCTGTAAATAATTATTGTGCTTACATGTACTTGAACCTAACCATAAGAGCTACGGCAACACTGTCTCAAATGATAATAAGGTAACAAAACGTTAAAATAAAGATAAATAAAAATAATCTAAAAAATCAAGCGATAAAAAGATACAATCAAATTTGGATGGAAAATTTCTCGTTTCAAGTGTCAAGGAAGCTTGACAAGGGAACATCCACTGAGAGCATACCTACGAATAGGTATCGGGATAGAGTTATTAAACAAACTGGGCCAAAGCGAATCACAAGAGGCATGAGGGATTGTGGGCAAAAAGCTTTTCGCCCACCGCGGATTCGTAACCCGGATCTCTTGCTTTCCGGGCATTTGTGCTACGCAGTTACACGATCCGGCTGTCACGAATCCCGGCTGGACGAAAGTTTTGCCCACAACTCAGCATTCTTGTGATAACTTTCGCAACGCGAACTGCGGCGTAAAACAGCAGTTATCCAATAAAAACAAGTCAAAATTGAGTAAAACTGGCCAAGCGTTTAACGGACCAGAAACAGAGAACAAATTGAGTTGACTTCTGAGAGAGGAAAGGGTTCAGGGGAAGACACACCCTGACTGAGGGACAGGGAGGTAAGCGAGAGGGAGGTAAGGGAAATCGCTCGTCAAGCCCGTAAAGGGTGGCTGCGAATGAGCGAATCCTCAGATTGTCACCTCGCCAATTTTCAAGTCGGTGATTGTGATCGTAAACGGGGGACATGAATTGTTCTCCACTATCATTCCCACCAAACCAGGAACACGGTATGTGCCAGAGAGTGGGCGACAGGATTTGGTGAACAGGGGTAGGAGGATAGAAACTCGTCAATGTCGCTTAAGAGCGGGTTGCATCAACCTACCCAATTATCCAACATCGGACTACAGTATTAATAGGCCAATATGACTTGGAATTTCTCCGCAAATTTAATGATGGGTGCGAATTTCTCCCCTTCATTGGAATTATCTTCTTCATTGTAAGATACTGCGGCCAAAAGGAGAGAATACAGAGCTGTGAAGTCAAGCTCAGGTTTTCATGCGAACCATTACAACTTTGCAACTTGAACGACAGCCTTAGCAAGCGTAACATTGGAAATACATACAATGCTACATAGTAATTTCAGAGAAAACTGCTCGTTATCATTTAGTACTGGTTATTTTTCAATTCTTTCAGGACTTGTTAATAATGGCTGAACATAACCAACAGGAAAAAAGGAACCTCACCGAATAGCACAATACTAGCGTCCAATCCATCCGATAACATAGGCAAGTTTAACTCGCGCAATGTATGCCGTGGTTCGTCGACGTTACAAAGCGTTAGAAGAATCTGAAAAGCTGGTTTGAATTTGAAAGTATGAAAATCCCATCTCCAGGTGACCTCCATAGGTTCAAGCATCCAAAATTAATGAAGTACTCACTCTACACGCATACTTGTTCTCCTCCTTTCCTGAGAGCCTTGTGAGAATCGTAGTTCGGCGGTGTGTTCTGGCTACTGCATCCATATCTCTTTGCAAATTGATTCGAAATAAAAGCGCCCCAGAGTTTGCGTGCCGGTTTATTGGAGTATTGGCTACCATCCATTTATGCTTTCGACGAACCTGAGCATTTCACAGGTATGCGCGTGTTTGCTTATTGTCACGTGGATAAAAGCAACTTTTGCAGGCGCAATCTATGAAGCACGCTGCGTATCGTTACTCAAGTGTCGTCAGTGTGTTAAAAGGCAAGCAATCGTGGAACAATTATGAATTAATTATTAATGACCATCACTGCATTGTGTGTATGGAGGTAACGTTCACCTAAACCAACTTTGACCGGTGAAAATGGAGTTGGAGAGGGCCATTCTATTTAATGACTCTACGGCCTCTAACGATGACGCACAAGACAAGCAACATATCGATTGCGAAAAATCATGTCGGTGAATGTAACAACTTTCGTTGAAGCTTCTGATAAGGAAGGTTGATTTAGCTTGGATCCTGACCCAAAAGCCGCATACTTTTGCCTAGACCCAGCGGGAGAGAGCAGGGGGAGGGGAGGAGCTCCAAGTGGGTAGATCAAAATGTGAAAATGAGCCAACCAACTAAGGATTGTATGTCGGTGGACATTTCGTCGATTCTTATCAATATGCTACTATGAATGAGCGTTCTATCAGAGTTCTTATGCTTAGCGCTAAAGATATCCCTAATCTTATCATAATCCTTATCGTTAGAGCCGCAAAGAAGGGATGGTTTCCTCCAGCTCCATTTTCACCCTTTGATCTAATAGTTAGCCTGCACTACGGCAACCAATTGAAAGCTCCCTTATTGGTTCTACCTGATTTTTTTCTGCTAATACGAGGAAGAATTTCAGACCTATGATGTTTCCTGATATGTCACGTCACGTAAATGCCCAATCAAAGTCCTGATCCGTTCCTTTTCAAAGTGATAGTCACATCATTCCTGAGGAAGGTTCCCAGAGACGCCACTAACCCAAGTCAGCTCACAAACTAATGGCAATATTTGATCAAAACTGACCTTCAATGCCAGGTAAAGAACACCACATGTCGAGCCACATTCGAAATCAGCGCCTATGTCACCCCACTCGTAGCGCACATTACGGACATACTTCAGTACAGGGTTCCCTTCTTGCCGTCGACGATTTACGATCAGACGAGACCCAGCTCCTCCACCAGAACCGCCTAAAAGATGAATGTTTCAATGCGTCTAAGAAGTGTTTTGTACGCCAAACATTAAGAGCAATATTGTCTTTTGAATATCTCAGAAGTAAACAATAAGCCGAAGTCGAAAATTTAGAAAAAAAATAATTTATCTCATCTGATTTTCAAGAAAATCACGTTTTTCTCTCATCTGCCCAATAATCATCTGAAGCAGGACGAACATCCTTCAATTCCAACTCCCAGATCCGACAGTCTACCTCGTCGGCAGCAGTATCAACCGTCCGTTGAGATTTCTCCACGAACGAAATCGTATTTTGTGATTTTGGGAAAGGGTCGTAGAAAAATGGAAATTATTTTTAGAAAGCATGGGAGGAGCAGATTTCTGAGAAGTTAAGAAAAGCTCCACAAAACAGATTTCATAAATTTCTCAGCTAAATCGGCTCACCATCCTTTGGAAAGGAGAACTACAGACTACTGTAGGCCCAACTAGGAAATTCAACGACACGATGTGCCATCGATTGTTGGAACTAGCGGAGAGGGGAATCGTGTTGGGCAATCCTCCGGAGGAGGTAGTCCAATTTCAATTTTTTTTTCTGACGTGACACTCAACCCTAAGTGGTAGACAATGGCCTAGCAGCCCTTCACCACAGAACCAGACTCGAAAACGAAACATCCGAACATATTCGTCACTGCCATGGCTCTGATCTTCACACAGAACTTGCCGGAATGCAAGGTACCTCCTAGCCCGTGGAAAGCCTGCAGAGTTACGCTGCTGCACGCATACTACAGGGTGTCCCAAAATTATGGAGCACAGAAATTCAAAATTTCATTCAGCAAAAGAACTCGAATATTTTCACTCCATTTGCCGACGATTACTTCTGCAGGAAGGTCTTCTTGTATT